TTGTCAGAGACAGCCTGGGAGGACATCTTGCTGCCTCAGGACTCATTCCAGTTCCTTAGAGATCTTGCCCACCCCCAAGTGAAGGCCTTGGACAAGCAATTCTTTTAACAGAAGGAAGCACCTGCTTTATTCATTCTTTCATGCATTCAACCAGTATTTATTGAACACCTGCTGTGTGCCAGGTCCTATATGAAATAATTACAACTGTGGTAAATGCTGTAAAAGAAATAGCATGGTGCTTTGTTGTTGTTAGTTGCTGTCGAATTGGCTCCGTCTCATGGCAACCCCACGTACGACAGAGCTAAATGTTGGCTGGTCCTGCGCCACCTTCACGATCGTTGGTATGCTTGAGTCATTGTTGCAGCCACTGCATATTCTGAGTGCTTCCCAACTTAGAGGGCTCATCTTTCAGCACTATATCGAACAATATTGTGTTGTGATCCATAGGGTTTTCATTGGCCAATTTTCAGAAGTAGATCACCAGATTTTTCTTCCTAGTCTGGAAGCTCTACTGAAACCTGTCCACCATTGAGTACCCTGATGGTATTTGAAATACCAGTGGCATAGCTTCCAGCATCATAGCAACATGCAAGCCACCATAGAACAACAAACTGACAGGTGGTGGATACGGTACTATAAAGGCCTATAAATTCAGGATAACTGAACTAATCTGCTAGGACCAAGGAAGTATTGATAATTAAGCTGAGATCCAACTCAGGCATAAGGAACAATCTGTGCAAACACAGCAATGGGACAGAGTATAGCATGTGTATCAGTTAGCATTTGCTGCATAACAAGCCACTCCAAAACTTAGTGGCTTAAAACAACAACCATTTTTGGGGGCTGTGGTCTCAGGGGACATCTAGCGCAGCTGGCATAACATAGTTCGTAAAGAAAATGTTCTACATCCTACTTTAGTGAGTAGTGTCTGGGTTCTTAAAAGCTTGTTAGCAACCATCTAAAATACATCTATTGGTCCCATCACATTCGGAGCAAAGGAAAATGAAGAAAACCAAAGATGCAAGGAAAATATCAGTCCAAAGGACTAATGAACCACATGAACCACAGCCTCCACCAGCCTGAGACCAGAAGAACTAGATGGTGCCCAACTACCACCACCTACCGCTCTGACAGGGATCACAATAGAGGGTTCCGGGCAGAGCAGGAGAAAAATGTAGAACAAAATGTAAATTCACAAAAAAAGACCAGACTTACTGGTCTGACAGAGACTGGAGGGATCCCTGAGACTATGGTCCCTAGACACCCTGCTAATTCAGAGCTGAATCCACTCCCAAAGTCTACCTTTCAGCCAAAGATTAGATAGGCTTATAAAACAAACAATAACACACGTGAGGAATGTGCTTTTTAGGTTAATCAAGTATAGGAGACCTAATGGGCAACACCTATCCATAAGCAAAGCCAAGAAGGCGGGAAAGGACAGGAAACCTGGACAAATGGACACAGAGAACCCAGGGTGTATAAAGGGAAAGGGGGAAAGTGCTGACACATTGTGAGGATTGCACCCAATGTCACAAAAAACAATTTGTGTATAAATTTTTGAATGAGAAACTAATTTGCACTGTAAACTTTCACCTAAAACACAATAAAAAATTAAAAAACAACAACGACTATTTTTAACTCACAATTTTGTGGGTCAGAAATTTGGCTGGGCTCAGCCAGGTGATTCTAACAATCTGGGTCAGGGCTCACTCAAGCATCTGCGTTACTTGCCAAATCAGTGAGAGACTGGCTGGCTATTGGCTGGGGCTCCTCGGTTCTCCTCCTCATGGTCTCTCATCCTCCAGCAGATTAGCCAAGGCTTCCTTCACAAGGCAGTTGGAGAGTTCCAAAAGGAAGCAAGAAAGGACAAGCTCCAAAGTTCAAGCACTTTTCAAGTCTCTGCACCCATCATACTTGCTATTGTCCATTTAACCAAAGCAAGTCGCATGGCTAAGCCCAGAGCGAACGTGAGAGAGCAACACCCAAGATTGTAGCTACAGGGAGGCAGGAACAAATAGGGGGCTATAACGGCAACAATCACCCTCTGTGTGTTCAAGGAATTGAAAGAAAGCAAGGAGACTAGGGAGTGGAGCATGAACGGGAGTATGGCCCAGTAAAGCTAATGGTGGGCAGGAACCAGAACATGCATGGGCTTGAGGAGCACTTAAGAATTTGCTCTTTATCCCGAAAGCAGGCAGGCCCTCTGGTTTGTGATTCTCTGTCTTGTGAATTTGGTCAACATAAATAAATCTCCTAAAACCTGAAATGTCCTGGGTGAACTGATAAAATGGATTTTCCAAGCTTGAGAAGCCGAGAGAAGGCTCTGGGGTCTGATCTACCCCATATATTCCTGCCTATCGTCTATACTGCTATAAATGCCCCATGCTTTCCCACCTCTGTGCCTTTGCACCTGCTTCTCCCTCAGCTGGGAAGGATCTTCTCATCCCTCCCCATAAGGCCAACTCTTACTCCCCCAAGATTCAGTTAGGTACCACCTCCTCAGGGTAGACCTCCCTGACTTCTCCAAGCCCAAAGACCAGGGACACATAGAATGGGAATATGAAGCCTAGGGAACAAGCCTGTAACTCATAGTGACCTTTGGGTTTCCCAATTTGGTGCAGGGTCCAGCCCTGCCTGTGTGGTGTACAGTCTGTGGGCATAGCACTTCCCTCATGTTGTAAACATCTTCTTACCTGTTTGCCTCCCACTAGACCGTGTATCTTGAGGGAATGTTCACATGTCCAGTGCCTATACATAGGATTCAGAAATGAATGAATGATTCCATCACTATACAGTGGCCCTCTAGAACCTCTCTTGAAGCCACAGCCAGCCTTATTCAAGTCCTCTTTCATTGAAGTCGAGGGAGTTGGAGAAGGGTTCTTTCCAACTAGGCCACGAGCCCCAGTGTCTCCCAGCTTTAACATGAAGCCACCTCCCAGAAGAGAGACATTCCCTGGCTCAGGGACAACTCACAGCAGCGTGGTCCAAGAGTAAAGAGAAGGGAGCTCCTTGGACAACAAATGCAGTGAAGTCATTTAATAGGAACAGGGTCAGCTAGCCATGGCCTCCATTGGCACAGACCTTCTCCTGTGTGCTAGAACAGCTGACCAGGGTCAGTAAGGCCCACTTTGGTCAAATGGACAATAGCAAGTGTGATGGGTGCAGAGACATGGAAAGCATTTGAACTTTGAAGCTGTCCTTTTCTTGCTGCCTTTTAGAACCCTTCAACTGCCTTGTGAAGAAAGCCCTGGCTAGCCTGCTGGAGGATGAAAGACCATGAGAAGGCCCAACTTACAGGTTAGCACCCTCATCACAGGTTAAAGATGGCACCCTCATCACAGGCTAAAAAAGCAGCTTTGTGAACCAGGGGCTGAGAAGAGGGCACCAAAAGCCCCAGCCCTGCGCATTTGTCCTGGCGGAATTTCCGAAATACCATGAGGGTTTAAATCATATTATTTCCTTTTTGCAGAAGAGAAAGCTGAAGCCCAGGAAGATAAGTCTTTGACTCATCAGTCACTGTAACTGTCATGGCCACTGTCTTAGGCTGGGTTCTCTAGAGAAGCAAAACCAGTAAAGTGTATAAATATATATATAGAGAGAGAGAGTATATCAAGGAAACAGCTCACGTGGTTGTAGAGGCTAGAACGTCCCAAGTCCGTGGATCAGGGTAGAGGTCTCTCCCAAGTCACACAGCTACAGAAGCTGGCAAGCCGAAGATTGGCAGGTCGGAGAGCAGGGCTCCAACTCACAGGCTGTGCAGATCGATGAATCCCAGGTTTGGCAGATAAGCTGACAGCTCAAGTCCCAAGAACAGGAGATGAGATGACAGGAAGCAGCCGCAGGATCCAGAGAGCAAAAAGCCAGAATGTCTGCTTATATACAGATGTGGGCCACACCCTCAAGGAGATGCCCTTTCATCTGATTGGCTACTCACAGTATAGTCAATCATGGGAGTGATTACATGAAAACATGGAGAATCATGGCCCAGCCAAGTTGACACACAATCTTAACCATCACAGCCACCCACGTAAAAGACTATTTTTCCCAGCCTCCCTTGCAGCTAAATGTGGCCATGCGACTATGTTTTAGCAAATAAGACATGAGTGGAAGTCTGTAACTTCCAGGTTGTGCTCACAAAAAGCAGAGGTGTGTCTCCTTCTCACTGCCTCGTCAGCCATCTTGGACTATATAGCCAAAGACAACATGGAAAGAGCCAGGACCCTTGACATGGGGGATCCACCATGCCAGCTCTGAACAGCTTATGCCTGTACTTAAGTGAGAACAAAATAAATTCCTACCTTAATTAAGCTACCATTATTTAGGGTACTGGCTATAGCAGTTTAACCTATATCCTCCTAGTCTAGATCAATTAACCTTCCAACTGAAGATCAGTTGAAGCTCATGCAATTCACCAGGGCCACTAGAGCTGCCCAATCATCAGGAACTTCCACTGTCCCAGGACAACAGAGCTGTGGCCTGAAGCCACCGAAGGACCAGCTGTTTTCTTGGACTAAGATCCAAGGAAGCTTGGAGGAACCTGCTAGATTGCTGAGCAGGGGAAGAGAAGCATGGCTGATATCCCACAGCGTACACACCAGTACACCTGTACCAGTTGTTAAAATACCGAAACACTTTCAAGCTGGTTGATAAGCACCCATTGCCCTGAGCCATCCCACGCCTTGAGCGTTCCCCTTCCCCAGACCCAGCAAGTAACAGGGTAGGAAGGGATCACTAGGACCTCATCTTTAGCTCCAGCCATTCTGATTTGACAAGCCATCTCCACTAATTAAATATTTTTAATATCACCTCTGGCCATAAGGTGCCTGGCCCCAACTGACTGAAGGGAAATAAAACTCGGAACTCAAGAGTCCAGGGTGATGAGGGTGACGAGAATTCTGAAAGTCAGAGATTTAGAACTGAAATTCCACCTCCACCTGCTTCTCTTTCTCTTCCCAAAAGCCAGAAATACCCACTCAGAACGTCCCACAAGCACACCCAGAGATTATTGCACACTTTTATTTACAGAAAACACAGATAAAGCATTTCAGTGTTCATTTAGCAAACTGATCCACTTTTTTTTTCCTTTTTTGGCACAAAGAAATATCACAGATGTACCCCAAGATCAATCAGAAACCCATAAGATTCATCAGCCATCACTCGTCCAGGGGCAGGCACAAGACTCAAGACAGACAGCATCGCCACAGACTGGAAAAAAATAAACAAGGTCCACGTTCACCTCACAGTAAAAATCTGCTCACCGACAGGCAAGGGTGGGCAGGTGGGGGCAGTTTCTCTGCTCCAAGGGGGGGAGTGGGCACCAGGGGCAGGAAGCAGAGATGGGAAGGGGATACACACTATTCATAAATTACAGAGGTGGTCTTTTTGTTTTTAACCTCTTACCCTATAGAAGACAGTGAAAAACTACAATACACCGACCACTCTTCCATTTGAAAAGTTTGAGAAGTTGTGTGGTATTGGGTGCCTCTCCCCTGTGCGTGCACGAGTGTGTGCCCATGTGCGTATGTGTGTGTGCACACACACGTGCGTGTGTGAATGTGGTGCTTGTAAACAGTGTCACCATCCATATACAGACCCAACATCCGTGTGTCTGAACCGGGGTGGGGTGGGGGCCATACCCCACTTCACGCCCCCCTCTGCCCCAATGGTTCCCGTCCAAGGCATAGTGCAAATTTCAGAGACAAAAAGAGGCGGAAGGGAGTGGGGGTAGGCAGGGGGCAAAAACGGCACAAAGACAGGGTGGGAGAGGGAGGGGGAAATAAGGCAACAGTTAAAAATGGTCCATTTTATCAAAACCGAGACACCAGGTGCCCCCACCCACCCAACCACGGCGCCCGCATCACGAGTAAGGGCGGAAGTCCCGCTCCTCCACCAGGCTGATGGAGGGATTCTTCAGCTCCTCCTCTGAGGCGGCCATCTTGTAGCCCAACTGTGCCAACACCTGCTGGCAGGCATTCTGGGCAAAGGCGACTATGTCGTAGGAGAGGCGGAAGCGCCACTTCTCCGCGGTGGCGGCCGAGTTGCGCACGGTGCCGTATTTGTGCTTGCCCAGGGCAGGGTCCCCCCGCGTGTTGTTCTGGATCCAGCGTGCCACATGGCTGTCCAAGGGGATGCCTAAGAACCCGTAGATCTCCTCAGTCTTCTTCATGGGGTTCCTGGCCAGGTCCTCATAGCGCACCAGCATGTACTTGCCCTTGAGCCAGGGTGGCCGCATTAGGCCGGTGGACACGGAGTTGGAGAAGTCCTCGCACACTGTGGTCAGCTGCGTCACGTCCAGGTTGTAGGGCTTCCTCCCCGTGCCGTACCAGAGCCGCCAGAGGCGGTACGTGTCTCGGAAGGTCTCGCTCCGTGAGGCCAGAATGCCCCGCGGGTCTCGGACAAGCTGGATGACCTTCAGGTTTAACCGCGGGTCTTCGACCAGAGCCCGCAGGTCGTTGACTTCCGGAACCCGCACTGTCTTGATGGCCACGTGGCTGCGCTCTCGACAGGCCTCCGCCGCCACCGTCAAGTTCAGCAGGCCGCACTTGCGCACGCAGTCCCCCTCTTCCAGCACCAGGTCGGCAGAGCCTGGAGGGTCACATACGGGGCGGGAGCAGAGGACCCTGCTGGCCCCTCGGCGGAAGATCCTGTCAGTGGTGTGGTTGACAGGCGGAGGCTTGATGTAGTTCTCCAGGAAGTAGAGGTCACAGTCGTAAAGGCTCCGCAGGAGGTCGCGGCTGGCGCCCAGCATGACGCGCCGGTCGGCGGGGCTCTTGCCCTGGGTGAAGCGGGGTATGAGTGTGTTCTGCACGTGGTAGAGGGGCTCAAACAGGTAGAAGACGTCCAGGTGCTGGTTGAAGAGTTGGCCCACGAAGGAGGAGCCGCTGCGGGTTGTGGCCAGGATGAGGATGTGGGTCTTGCGGGAGAGGTTATAGGCGAAGGTGGGGCCCTCCTCGCACAGCCGCTCAGCCAGCCCAGCATCGGCCAGCCCCGGGCAGGTGTGGAAGGACTTGGCGGTGAAGGTGCGGATGGCTGTGTACTGGATGGCGATGGAGGCCAGGGCAAGGAGGAGGACGGCCTTCCAGGAACATTGCATGGCTGGGCACCTTCATGGGGCTGCTTCTCCACCATGCGAGGTCTGCGGGCAAAGGCAGGCAGCGGTCAGGGAGCAGCCAAGCATGGGTGGGGTCTCCCATGGGCAGGGGCCACTGCTCGCTCCCTTGGAAGATCTGGCCTCCAGGGAGCCCAGGGAAACACCCCAACTCCCTGCCCAATATTCACCCACACACACATTTCCCAAAGCCTAAGCAGCTTCTGGAATCCCTGGGTAGTGCCAACAGCTAAGCACTCAGCTGCTAACCAAAAGGTAGGAGGTTCAAGTCCACCCAGAGGCACCTTGGAAGAAAAGCCTCGTGATCTACTTCCAAAAAATCAGCCATTGAAAATCCTATGGAGCATAGTTTACTCAGACACACATGGGGTCCAAATTGACTTAATGGCAACTGATAAGCAGCTTCTACACTGGACTTTACTATCTGCTGGGGAATTCCTTAGAATGTCTGGGACCTGGAACAACCGATGCCAAGGGCCCTGACTCCCAGGGATTTACCCTCCAGAATGCTGCTCTGTGTTCCTTTTTGGGCCCCACTGAGTAAGAACCTAACTCCCCAAACCTCCACTCTTAGGAATGATGAGCGCCTGCCTCAAGCTATCCCCCTGCCACTGCCCACCACCCGTGCGTCTCCTGCGCCCGCCAGCATCTTCCTTCACCCCCGAGGAGCTGATGTGCATGTGTTCATCTTTCCTCTGCCCTTTGCCACCTCCAGGAGGAAGAAGAATCCATGTCAAATGCCTCCTGCCAGCCCTGCCCCTGTGCAGAAAAGGCCCTGACACTGTGGGTCAGTGAGCTGCCAGCTTCAGCCGGGCCAGGAAAGATGGACAACTGTGTCAAGGCCCTTCCAGGTGACCAGCTTCCTCCAGATGTGGACTGCTGGGGCTCCTCAAGTCCCTAAGAATCAACTGGTTCAAAGCAGAGAGGGAGTCCAAGGGCTCCTGAGAAGCATTGCTCCCCCAAGACCCTTCGCCCTCCATGGTTTGCTTCTGGCCTCGTGGAGAGAGGTCCAGGCTATAGGGCCAGAAAATTCCCACTGACAGGCAGGGTAGACTGGCCTGCAAAGATCTTAGCCCAGGGGGCGGGGACCTCAGTCCTCCAGGCACCCCCAGCCAGCCAGCCCTTAAGGGCCTCCATCCTTAGCCCCTCACACCTTTCTGTCCACAGGTGGTATCAGGGCCCCACAGTGCCCCAGCAGAACTTGGCAAGACAGAAGAGGAAGCAGTGGAGCAGAAAGGGGCAGGCAGAGCAGGAGACTGGGAGGGAGGGCCACAGGAAGGAAGCGAAGAGTGTGCCAAGAGTCCAGGGCAAGGAGCCAACCTAAGCGTCTTGACGATGCCCCGACAGAGTGTCCCAGATGAGCTCAGTGACTGGGCCTGGGGGTCGGGGGGAGGGGGTCACTCCCGGAGAGAATGCAGCCAGCACTCAGCCACTTACCAAAGAAGGGCTGCCCCGAGCCGGGGAGTCCGCAGCCGCCAGCGTCTCCTGGCCTGGTTGGCCGTCCCAGTCGGTGTGGCAGCCCCGTGGCCGGCGGACTGCAGGGAGACAGGGAGGGGAGGAGTTCCGGGATGGAAGTAGGCTCCCAGTGCCCCCTCTGCACCCCCTTCTCTCCTGTGTCCTGTGCCTTCTACTTCAGGCCAACTGGTCCCCACTGTTTGCTCCCCTTCTATCCCAGGGCCAGGCTGGTGGTGGAACCTGCCTGTCCTCTCAGATGTGCTACTGACTCAGGGCCCTAACCAACCCAGGGCCACCCCAGGGCCACCTCTGGTCCCTGGGGTCTGGCCCTCCATCCGAGTCCTGGGCAGCATCCCATCCCCTCTACTCACTCCCCTACCAACACCCATACCCTCCTAGCTGGTCAAGGTCCCTCTGCTCATACCAGGAACCAGTGGGGAGGGAGGCTGGCAAGCCTGCACACCCAACAGACCAAGAGCTGGTGCCCAATACGGGCAGCTACCCAGGGAGGCACCCACTCCACCCTCCCAGGAAACCATGGGAGCTGCAGAACAATCTATGTGTGCAAACACTTCTGGGCCTGGCTAGCTCTGTTCCTAGCTTTGGGGGCCATACTGACCAGACAAGACCCAGCGGCCCAGCGGCCAACAATGGAGCTAACTGTTGGAGTCGAAGTTATCCAGCAGACCTGGCCTGCAGCACAGCCCTGACTGGCCGTGTTTTAAATAAGTGAAGCAGGCCTGACCCTCTCAAATTTGACTTGTCCAGTGATTCCCCAGGAGGAGGGTTAGCGGAAGTCAGCAAGGGCCAGAGGGCTCACCCCAGACCTCCAGCTTGAAACGGCAGCTCCGTTGAGACCAGCCCAGACGCTGAGGTCTGCTTCGAAGGGACAGCCAGGGAGGGTGTTCTCCCAACCACTCCAGGAAAAGAGGAGAACAGCTACCTGAAACCCAGAGCAAAAGTTGACCAGGGAGCATTCCTGAGCTTGGTGTTTGTCATGATTTGAATTATGTCCCCCCAAAAATGTGTATATCAGTTTGGCTGGGCCATGATTCCTGGTACTGTGTGATTTTCCTATGTTGTAAATCCTGCCTCTATGTTAATGAGGGAGGATGGGTGGCAGTTGTGTTAGTAAGGCAGGACTGGATCTACAAGATTGGACTGTATCCTGTGGCAATCTCTTGAGATATAAAAGACAGAAGTGAACAGCGAGACAGGGGGACCTCATACCATCAAGACGGCAGTGCCGGGAGCAGAGCGCATCCTTTGGACTGGGGTCCCTGTGCCGAGAAGCTCCTAGTCTGGGGGAACACTGATGAGAAGGCCAAGAGAGAGAAAGCCTTCCCCTTGAATTTGGACTTTTAGCCTACTTTACTGTAAGGACATAAACTTCTCTTCATTAAAACCATCCACTTGTGGTACTTCTGTTGTAGCAGCACTGGGTGACGAAGACAGTGCTCTTCACAGATCCTGAGTTAAAACACCAAGATCATAGCAATATCGTGTTAACATTCATTGAGCTCGTCCTAAGCACTCAACCCCTTACCTGCCTTTGCTCATTTACTCCTCAGGATAACTTTATGTGGAAGCCAGTATTCTCTCCATTTCACAAGTGAGAAAACTGAGGCACCGAGAGGGAGCTGCCTGCCTGAGCTACATACCTGCTTTAACCCTCGTCTCACAGGCTCCCCAGAGCCCATACTCTCTCCCTCTGTGGAGATTTCACCTTCAGACCCTCAGGCTTACATGCACTTGGCCTTGGAACATGCATTCAATTAATGTCTCCCTCCCATTTGTGAGTAGGCTAGAGAGAGACTGGGCATTCGAAGCGGGAAGGTGGATGGTTTCCGAAGCTTAGATCTGTTCTTTCCCTCTGCCGTCTGGTCTTTTTGATCTGTTTGTTCATAGCTGATGGGGTGTATGCGTGTGCTTTGTGACTATTCTTCCCACATCCAGCCTGACTCCTCTGGGGGTGGAGCTAGTGGGTCCTCATTTCCCAAGCCTGCCACACTGCCTGACTGGGCTCACCCAACTCTCAGCACCATGGTATCCCATAAAACCCCTTCTCTGTAAGTGTCCTCACCCCCATTGTTCTGAGGGGTGAACTGAGGCGCAAAAACAAAGGAAATCTGCGTAAGCGGATAAGAAGTAAGGAGCCCCCCAGTGGCACAGTGGTTAAGCATTCCGCTGCTAACCGAAAGGTTGGCAGTTCGAACCCACCACCCACTCCACTGGAGAAAGATGTGGCAGTCTGCTTCCATAAAGATTTACAGTCTTGGAAACCTTATGGGGCAGTTCTTCCCTGTCCTACAGGGTCACTATGAGTCGGAATCGACTCGATGGCAACAGGTTTGGTTTTGGGGTTTTAATAAGAAGTAGCAAATACATCAATGTTCACTGCAGTGCTATTCACAATAGCCAAAAGGCAGCAACAATCTAAATGCCCATCGACAGATGAATGGATAAACAAAATGTAGTACATACGTGCAGTGGAATATTACACAGCCATGAAGTGAAATGAAGTCCTGATACATGCCACAGCATGATCTGGCTTACAGGAAATAGTCAAATGTATTTAGAGACCAAAGTTTATTAGTAGTTACAAGGGGTAGGAGGGTGGGGCAAGGGGGAGACATTGCTTGGGGGGCACTGAGTTTCTATTAATGGTGGTAGAATAATTTGGAAAAGGAGAGTGGTAATGGTTGCACAACATAATTCACGTAATCAATGTCACTGAATTATACATGTAAATATTGTTGAATCGGCAAATGTTTTGTTTTATATATTTTTATTACAGTAAAAAAAAAAGTAGCAGAGACTCGAACCCCTCTGGGTCAGACTCCCAGGCCAGTGCTCTGGTCCTTCACCATCAGAGTAGAACTGCACTCCACAGGGTTTTCTTGGCTGTAATCTTATAGAAGCAGATTGCCAGGCCTTTCTTCCACAGCACTGCTGGATGGATTCAAACTGCCAACCTTTCTGTTAGAAGCTGAGGGCAAACTGTGCCACCCAGGGACCCCAGCATCAAGCTAGGGGGGAGCAAATAGAGCAGAAGCAGTCTGCTTGCCTTGATGAAGGGCAGAGGCTTGGCTGAGATGGCGATGAGCCACTGAGGCTCTGGGGCCTCTGGGTCCTGTTTTAAGCATCAAACTCCATTTATTACCTCCACTTGTTACACACCAACCCTATAAGGAAGCAGTATTGGGTCACCAAGTAGCAGTAAATAGTCTAGAGTTTTGGGAAGCTTCCAATGTGATCAGAGTAAAACCACAACCCCCTGGCAGCAGAGGATCCTGTCTGCAACAGCAGGGCTGGGCAAGACACCCAGAGAGAATGGCCTCTCTGCATTAAATGTGACCCCACTCAAAGCGCGGCCCACCCTGCCTAAGTTCCCTAAGACAATGATGAGTGCTATTAAAGAAACAAACAGGTAGGGAATCCCACCAATAATAGCGTCAGATAATATATTTATTTCATGATCCATCCTGTAGCTGCAATGTCATTTCATTTGGATGTACTTCTCTTCTATTATTCACAAACAATTATCAGATATCCGGCATGTGCCGGCACTGTTCTAGGCACTATGGGTGAAATAATGGCAAAGAAGACAAGCACTTACTGGGCATTCATGACGTTTCTCCCTGGCATATGCTTGCTGCACAGGCATTAGGTCATCCCACCCTCACACCAACCCTATGAGGTTAACACTGTCATATCCCCATTTTACAGATAAGGAAGCTGAGACTCTGCAAGCTCATACAACTATTAAGGGGCAGACCCAGGATTCTAGCTCAGGTAGGGTTCTCCAGAGTCCATGCTCAAATTCTCCTTCGTGGTCCACTTATTCCATCTGCATTCCACCCCTTTGGTCCCCACCAAGACAGGCAACAGAACCCTTAGAGGATCTTAACTCTAGGATTCTGATTCTGAAAATAGAATTCACCTTGGAGTTTTCCTTAAGGAAGAGCGTTTTCTGAGGAGGGGCCACTTAAGTTACTTCTCCCCTCACCCCTGCCCCCACCCACAGAAACTTAAGGCCAGGGTTACCTGTTGCTGCTTCTGTCAAGTTGATTCCAACTCATAGCAACCATTTTGCAGGTAAGAAAACTGTGTTCCATCAAGATTACGAAATCTGGCCAAAGGAACTGCTCCATAGGGTTTCCAAGGCTGAAATCTTTACGGAGGCAGATGGCCACATCTTTCTCCTGAGGAGATGCTGGTGGGTTCGAACTGCCAACCTTTTGGTTAGCAGCAAAGTGCTTAACCACTGTGCTACCAAGGCTCCTTAGGCCAGGGTTAGAAGCTGACAAATCAGAAGTAACCAGAGCAGCTGGGTGTTATAATCCCTGAGAAAGTAGGATCCAGCTTCACAAGGTGCAGCCTGGGCACCAACGAGGGAAATGTGTTTGAAGGCCCAGCTGCAGGCCCTGCCCCTCAGGAGGGCAAAGCAAGGGCATGGGAACGGGAAGCTGGGGGAAGTCAGGCCCTCCCGGAAATGCCCCCCTCTCCTGCCAGCCTGGCAGAGCTGGGCCCAGGGCTGGCCAAGTGTCCTTTGTATGCTGGAGGCATCTGCCCTGGAAACCAGAAGCCCCGGGGCCAGGCTCCATTGTTCCCAAAGGATCCATGGCCACTGCAGAAGACTCCTCAATACCCTCGCCCCCCAAGCCAGACCGCGAAGCCCAGGGCCCTCCTCTGGGCTTCCAGGAGCCTCTGGCATGACCTTCCTCCAACCCTGGTTAGTCAAGATCCAGGCAAACCTTGGGCACAGGAGCCCAGGCTCCGTCATTTCAGTTGGAAGGCAAGGGAGTCGGTGAACTCTCACACTCAGCAGAAAGCTACAAAGGTGAAGAAAACTAAGAAGGGGTCAGCTACCTTCAGATCAGGGCAGAGGGTGGCAGTGGAGAACAACCCTATGTTGAAGAACTATAATTTAGGGCTAAGAGCTCAAGCCACAGAACCATGCTGACCTGGATGAGGCTGTGTGGATCTGGGCGAGTCACGGGCTGTCTCTGAGCCTCAGCTCCCCACCTGAAAGTGGGTATAACCATAGTAGTAGCTGTAAGAATTGAATGACCTACAGCCTGGCGTATAGACATGGCACAGCCCGTGGTTGAGACATGGGCTTTGCAACCAGCCTAGTCAATCCCAGCCCAACACTTACTAGCTGTGAGACTTTGGCCAGATTTCATAATCTCTATGGACCACAGTTCTCTTACCTGCAAAATGGGGCTAATTATAACAAGGCTGTTGTGAGGACCAATTAGTTAATATAGCCCCTGGCACAGACTGAACAGTCAATAAATGTCAGTTCATATTATTGTCAACAAATATCTGGTTTACTTTTTGTCTGAGGGAGGCGCCTCAGAACAAATCCTGCAGCCCACAGGTGTGACTCTGACAGTGAGGCAGACCCTCTCCCCTACTACTGTGTCCAGACCTCTGTTCAGCCTCTGCCCACCACCCCTTCTTCCCTCTGCTCCTCTCCATTCCGGGGAACTTTCTCCTGCTGAGCCACCACAGTGGCTTTCCCGCCGCCCTCTAGTGGCCACAGCCTGCAGTGCAGCCTCTTAGCCCTGCATCTCTTCTCTGTGTTCAGAATCCCGGGCTGGTTGGCTGCAGCCTGAGCTGAAGATACAGCCAGCGGGAGGTGATGTTGCAGGATGCAGTGAGGTGTGATGATGGCAGCAACAGGCGACCTCCCCTCCTCCCAACGGCCTCTGCTGCTGGCCTCATCCCACTCCAGTAGAAGGAACACTGACCTGAATGACTGTCATGGGCAGGTGCAGCCCACAGGCTCTGCCTTTCCCTGGCCGTGTGACTCTGACTCACCGCCTGCCCACTCTACGCCTCC